AAACCTCAGCAGCTCTTGCATTTTTGTGGAGTTCAGAGACCACCTCAATAGTGCAGAGGTTCTGCTACCTACTGAGTGGCAGATTTCTTCATCTTAAGTGCTTTTTTGATCCCAACTTGCAGAGTAGAGACCCTCCGCTCCATGCCAGTTGAGAAGTGAGTTGCTACTCATGCAATATTCCATGTTAAAGATTACACAAGTTTAATTTGCTGTTAACATATATTACCACTTATTGCAAAAGTAGATGGCTTTGGTGATTATTTCTGTATCTGCACTTCCACTACTCCAGAAGCCGTAAGTGGACACTTGGTTTTTATGCTGTTCCTCTGCTGGCAGCCATGCGGAGATTCAGTTTGAACACTAAGTGATCACACACACCCCCATAAAGGGGAAAGCTAGACAGGAAAAAACCTGCAGCAGAAAGTACTCAACTTCACAAATGACTTGAAATGAGTGTACAGTCTCATGGTAGCTGAAAACTTAAGGCATCAAGATTCTGAAACTTAGCTGTGTTACCGGCCAGACGGACTGAATGCTTGCAGGCCACTGAGGGAAAAATATGCCAGTTACAGTGTTCTCTAGCAAGGCTTCCAAATGAACATGCTGGTCACGAGGATAGCTGTAGGGGCTTGCAATTGTCACGTATCAGACCACAGCACCTCCTACCCACCCTCACAAGCAGAAAGAGTATAAAATAAATTGCTTTTGATAAGCAGTCTGAATGCAACAGGACCGTAAAATTGAGCAGAGGGGATGATGGGGGGGAAGCTGATTAGAAAACAGAAGCATCTGCGATGATCACTCATTGATTCAAGGGAGATAAAGCTTGCTTTCTTTCACGTCTCCCCTCTAAAAAGTCACTTGTACTTAAATATGATTGTGTAACAATGGAATCCTTACTACTATTTAGCTGTATGTTTTCCTCACTAAACCCTCTAAAAGACAAGCCTTAGATTCGTAGCTCCTTAATCAGGTGAAGTCAGTTCAGTTTTAGAACAATTGCTGGCATATACTGTAAGGAAGCCTGTGAAGTCAAAGGAATCAACAACAGTCAGACTAGAAACCTCCCTCTCCCTGGCATGTAAACAGAAAACTACCACCACACAAGGTAAGGCTGTATGTTTCACAGAGTCTCACTCCCCTTACATTTTTCAATAATACAAAGTCCATCTCCAAATAAAACTACACATTTTTCCACAATTGCACTAGGCTAGGATTATGCTTATTCTGAATATGGAAATCAGAGGCTGGCTGCCTGTCCTGCAAGCATAAGAATTTAACATTAAATTAAAAAAAAAAAAATTAACAAGCACAGTAAAATTTTAATCTTTGAAAATAAAGTTGTTGCTGGGTGTATAGCCTAAGCAGCAAAACAAACGTCACTTTTTGAGACCCCGGTCCACTTTTGTTTATTATTCAGGGGAAAACATGAAGCCTCTGAATCTGATCTTTGTGGTGGAAAGCCAAGCATCCATCTATGCCCAACGCTAGTGGATCAAGTTATTCTAGGATGTAGGTTGTTAATGATGTCTGTCTGTCTGCTGCTGGCAACAAGCTCCGAGGAGTCCAGGCACTGTGGTGTAAAGCACTATAGTGGGAAGAACACAGCCGGGCACGGCTTGAGCAAGAGCTATTTTCCCCAGGCTTCATCCTTCCCTCACTTCCAGCTTCCAATGGGGTCCATGTACTAATCTCTGACCTATCTGTAGCGATTTTGACCATTTCTCTAACAGCAGATGAGGCTTTAAGGCATCGCCAGTCTTCCTTAAACACACCTAGGACTTAAAGACGTGGACAGCCCTTATCACATACTGCCTGCATATGGGACATTCGCTCATCCGCTTCCCACACTTGGTGCAGGTGACCATGTGGCCGCATTCGAGCAGGACGCAGTCAATGGGTGCGTCCATGCAGATTTTGCAGAGGTTGTCCTCCGTGCCAGGGAGCCCAGCACCACCTGAGTAAACAAGAGACCACACTTTGCATGAGACGAAGAAAGGTATGTCGGTTTTGTGCAATCTGTGAGTTGGCTTTATCAAAGGGCTTCCCTAATGTACTTTTACACACTGAAGGTCTGGAAAAAAATTCCCCTTGCGTCTACACTGGTGAGGATATATCTGCTCCATCAGCTGGCAAAGAGCAGAAAGTTTTATCTTTTACACAGTAATTTCTGTGTGATGAAAACAAATACCACTGAGAATCTTAGTAATAAGCAAAGGAAGCAACATGGGTCTCTTCTCCCAGGTTACAAGTGATAGGACAAGAAGAAACAGCCTCAAGTTGCGCCAGGGGAGGTTTAGATTGGATATTACGAAAAATTTCTCCACCGAAAGAGTTATCGAGCACTGGAACAGGCTGCCCAGGGAAGTGGTGGAGTCACCACCCCTGGAGGTATTTAAAAGACGTGTAGATGAGGCGCTTAGGGACATGGTTTAGTGGTGGACTTGGCAGTGTTAGGTTGATCTTAAGATCTCCATAATCTTAAGGGTCTTTTCCAACCTAAATGATTCTATGATTAAGAATATCACTTACCAGTTTGATCATCAGTGTCGGAAACTGCAACATAAGAAGAGAAAGTTATTTGGTAAGAATAAGAGAAGCTGGAAAAAAAATTTACTCAAGCAATATTATTAAGCAGGAGATGAAAGCCTTGAAGGGAGATTACTAAACCAAAACTGCTTTTTGCTGATCCCCATGCAGAGGTTCAAGCTGAATCTCTGATCAGGATAGGTTGTTCAACTGGCAAGAAACTTCCTCTTTTACTGAGCTTACACAATAGCTAAGTCTTCGCAAAGATAAGCAACTATTTAAAGTGATGTCTCAATTTTTAAGACAGCCTTGGAATTCATGCAGTGTTTGCCTTCCGAGAACTACACTTTCAGTAGCCCCTTGTGCCAGTTTCTTTGGTGTTACACAATCTCACCAATATTGTTGGGCACAGCTGAGACACATGCACAGGCAACAGTGATTAAGAGGAAAGGATAAATTCTGTCAAAAGCACAAGATACAATGAAAGAAGAATATAAAACCAAAGTGGATGTCTTAAATCTTTTGTCATTCATAGAGGGCAAAGCTTAGAGAGATGTGTTTAAGAAAACAACGCTACTTTGGACAACACTGAGAAACAAACCTATCTATGAAATCAAAGGATTAAAGTATGTTTCTCTCTTGTAAATAATTTACAAGTATATGTCTTTTTTAACTAATCACCTAGAATTGCAAACTGGCACCTGAAAGTCAAGTCAGATACATTCTCTGTGCATCTCTATCGCACCACTATCCCCTCATCAGTCACCTGTGCAGGCCCAGCAGGAGCAGGTAGTGCACAAGAGGAACGCTCTTGTGATCAAGAGGACAGAGTCAAAGCACAGATAACCACAACTGTTCAGCAGCGCGGGCCACTGTCACTGAGCGCATGCCCGCTCTGAATTGCCCGGCTACTTTTTGGTGGCATTTTCCTGCTAGAGCAGGGCATTTTCCTGCTGGCTTTGCCAGTTACTGTGAGTCAATAGATAAGAGCTCACCCCAGTGCTTAGTCATCCGTCTACAGCCGTGCATCAGCTGTTCTGTGGGTGATGCAGTGACCAGTGCATCTGCCACAGCTATACAGAATCCCGAGATGAAGGGCGCACAGTTCTCATTTGTTGCTACTACAGGGACGCTGCTCTCCAGCGCTACCATAATGCCCTCCTCTTAAACAAGTACAAGTAGTGGTGAACAGAATTTAGCTACTTTAACACGCGTATCAGAAACACTCCCTCCATTCTCCTCACTTGCACAGAACAGAAATGTAAGATAAATTCTATTCCCTTCTGCAACTGTCCGTAGAAAGGGAAAACCTGGAGAACAGGTACATGCTTGCTAAGTTTCTTACCTAGATGTTGAAGGTCTTTCTCTTTATAAAGACGAGTCACCCTCTCTAGCAGCTCCCACTTTTCACAGCAGCCTTTGTAGTTGACAAAGTTGCGAGCAAGAATTTCCTTCAGCTGTCGCACAGAGAGTGCATTGATGTCTCCGATGCTTGTTAGATCAGAGAGAGAAGCCTTCCGCCCCTGCACCAGGTTATCTTCTGAGTCAGTAGACTGAAAGGGAACAAAGATGGAGTGATTCTTGCCCTCAACACCTAGCAATACAACTTAAATGAACTTTCAACACGTGCACTAGCAGGAATTCATGTTTGGATGTACATATAACTCTGATTACTCTGTAAATTCCTCCATCTATCAGAAACACAAGTCCTAGGATGGAAATAAATAATTTCTATTATAGTGTCCACGTGACACCAGTTTTTTCTACATGTGGAGGATAAGATGATGCTAAAGAAAGGGGTTGATTGGGTCTGCTGGTGGTCAGCCTGAATTACTGTTTAGCCACCCATCTCTCAGCAGTAACGATTCTGTGGTGTCAGATACAGCCTAGAAAACCTGGTATTCCTTGTCATCTAATTCCAGGACACACAAACCTGTGTCTCCTCCTCTGTTGGTGCTTCTGCTGCATTCTCAACTCCTGTCATACCAACTTGGCTTGGAGGCACATAACCATTTGCCTAGAAGAAGAAATAAAGCTTTCACCAACAGCGTATCTCCGTGTGTCCAAAGGGAAATAAGCTCGATAGTTCAGCACAACTGCAAACCCTGCCCACTGGAAGGACAAACTGCGGCACAAGGTAAAAGCGAGGCACGCTCACAGAAGGCATTTCCGTGCAGCACTTACAAAAACAAACTTTAAACAAGTAAAACTTTTTGAAACTCAAGTGCAGCATCTGACCCTTTAAAGCCCCGCTTTATTTAAACCCTGATAGAGTACTTGTACAGTAAGATCCCACATGATGTTCTTGTGAGGCTGAATCAGGAGGAGACCAATTTTATACACGTGTGTATATATGCAATCCTTCGCTGAAGCGTTGCAGTGTGACATGGTGTGATATCACAGCTCTGATGGCACATCGGCTATCAATGCAAGGCTCTGTATAAGACTCCTCTGTAACACAGCTCAAAGCCTACAGGTCATCTTCAAAGTAACCATACAGAAACACCTCCTCAGGTGGGTTCTGGACTGGACAAATAGGAGATACTAAGTGAAAGACCAGCAGCAACAGAGCTGGAGAATGAGAAGGGGCAGTTGCTTTCAGCACTTAATAAAATGAAAGGAGCTGCAGTGCAATTCTAGCCGACTTGCCTTGAGCAGCTATCATTCCCCTCTGTGGTTTCCCTACTGACAAAGGAGACTGTGATGTTACCATCCTACTTATCTAAGTGGTGAGTTGTTAATGTTTACAAAGCAAAAGAATAACAATAATGATGAAAGAGCCTGAACTGTAGCAGGATGTCATACAAGTAGAGACGAGAAGCTGAAACGTATCATGGGGCAGAAAGGGAAGACAACAGAGCTGAATTTGCTGGTAAAAATTGGAATGGCAATATCCAGAAAACCAGAGACTGAAAAGGCCTTTTAATGATTTGTAAAAAACATCCTCCCAGGAAAACTCTTCTTTTGCACTAGATATATCTGCTGAGGAAGCAGAAGGTACATGCACTTTCACAGCTCTGGGCCACAGGGAACTAAATACGCCTATTAACTTCCTAATAGGACTACGAGCAGATGTCAAACACTGAGTAAACTTCCCATACCAGAAAGCAGAAAGACAAACAAAGCAAAGTCAATAAAAAATAATTAAGCTCAAATGCCCCTGACAAGGTTCATGAGAACTGCAGGGTTCATCATAAACTGAAGACTTAACAACAGACTCAGGTTTTGTCTTCTACTGATCTGAGTGCAGAAGACTCCAAAAACGCCGCCCATCTCACAATCATCTTTCCCATCAGTTTCAGTTCCAAAATTGCTTTAAACTGCGCTTGCTGTCTTGCACACAAATTAAAGAACAATAACAACCATTTCATCTCACACCTACATACAGCTGTCAGAAAGTTGTCAACATCAACACACAAGACAGACCTGTGCGCCAACACAGACATCAAGTACCAAAAGGAACCAGTCACAGGAGTCATCTAGCGGCAATGGCAAGTGTGGAGCAGAGCACCAGAGAAAACACATCTCAAAACAGTGATGTTGTTCTCAGAGTGAATGTTCAATTAAATTCCACTAGTATAGAAAGGGAATAGCACATCAAAGTTGGTGACAGCAAGTCACAGTTTTACACAGCAAGGCAGTGTAAAATAACTCATCTTACTTTCCTAATTATTCTGTAAGAAAGTGTGAGGTCCTCACTTCAAAATTAGAAACAAACCTGAGAAGAGCATGTATGAAATGCAACTGAAGTATTTTGTCATCTGTTCTAAACAGAAGCCCTCCTTGTTTTTTAAGCAGGTATCTTTAACATAGAACTTTTTTGGCACATTATCTACTTGGAAAACCTCATGCAACACCTTAGCAGTTAATCCAAAATAGAGATGAATGAGTTTGCAAAAGATGCTTCTGGCTAGAGGCCGTACCTGTTGATGTTCCTGAGCTAGTGAATTTGAGATGGGATCTGCAGATACTGGAGACGCATCATGTGAGGTAGGAGATGCTATGCCGGTTGGTGGGAGAATCACAAAGTCTTGCTGTCCAGAGGTACTAGTATTAAATGGATTTGTTCTTATCTGATCTTCCTGGGTAATGACAGGCTGCTGGCCAAGAATCAGAAATACCAGGTCCTCCTTTTCACGACACAACTCTGTAGAAATCTCACGGAGTGCCAAATAGTCTCGCAGATCCTTCACCTTCATCTTTATCAACTCTTCCCGCTGAAAAGCTGTGGCTCGGAAACGCTGGCATAGATGGCAGAGAAGGGGACCACCTTCAGGTTGGTTTGAGCAGGACGTACAAAAATTCTTCTTGCAGTCCAAGCAGATGTGCTGTTAAAGAGAAGGGAACAGAATCAAACCGATCCACCATGACCTGCAACAGAGGTGCATGACGACCGCAGGCAGTGCTCCCCTACCATCTGGAAGCCAAAGTAAGCAGTAGCCTCTGTTAAAGCACACAAAACCTTCTGATTTACGAAGAAGTGCCAAGTGTGTTACTCATGTTCCTAGATGAGGAAAAGGATTGATCCCCTGAGCAGATCACTAGATCTCTCCATGAGGCAGCAGACTTTCAAGTAAATTACAGCTAGCTGTGCATTGCTTTATAAAACAATGAAATATTGCTCTGTGCTTTAAGAAAGCTCTAGCATTGGAGGGAACTACTTAAAAACATTTCTCTATTTTATAAATTTAATACTTGCTATGAGTGACCTCCCTCACCCCGCCCTTTTTTTCCCCTCCAGATTGCTGCAATCACTAAATGAATCTTTTTTCACTGTAAGAGGAAAAGGAAACAGCAAGGCTTACAGTGTCTGACAGACATCAAAGAATTCAATATTTATTTATGCAACAAAAATAGCCAGCTTATTTTGAAAATAATATGCACACTGTGTGCCAGTGAGGTGCTAGACAGAAAGCGTTGGAAGTTTTGGAAATATTAGGCCCCAGATGTTTAAAAACTTTACAGATTGAATTCTGTTGTTTAATGTTTATATTTTATACTGTTCTGGTCTTGTCACTCAGGGCTCGATTTTCAGAAGTTCCAAGCACTCACAGTCCGTGTTGACTTCTGCAGAAACTCGACTGCGCAACACTTTGGAAAGTCAAATTCTACATTTTCCAATAGGAATAGCAGCAGAACAGCCACATTACGCGCCTTTTAAAAAACTCCTGAGGGAAGAAAGAACTGGTTTCAGTGCTGGTTAAAAACGCTAATTCACAGTCTCAGAGAAGACAAGCATCTCTATGAAATCCTGACATCAACCCTTCAGAGCTATGCAAGGAAAAATACACACGCAGAGTTGGAGACGCAACAAACTCGGAGACAAAAAAATTGCTTCATTAATTGCTTCTAGTGATTAAAGAACATTTTTAACTTCACAGTTCAAAGAAAGCAGATGTTTCTCATGTTTTAAAAGGTGTAAATACACTACTTGCTTACATAAGCACCTTCTGATCCCCTTTACAGCCTGGCAGCCCCCTTGCCCCACACACACCCTTACAATTATAACCAACAGACTTCTCATTTAGACCCTGTAATAGGCTTATGATGACAGTCAGTGGAAAGAATCCTGATTTCCTGCCTAAGCATTTTAAGACATGAAAATTTCTACCACAGAGAGAATCTCTGGTCATGCAAACTTGAAACCTCATCTCAAAATTGCTGGTTGGGGGCCTGCCAAGTAAAAGTGACTTTCATCGATCACAAAGCAAGACAGGAAGGGCAATCTCCACATACCATCCAGTTTTGAGAAATTTTCCTTCACTTGGTCATTATAAAAAACATTAGTATGTAACTGGCTTTTTTTTGACCCTACAATTGCAGAAGCAATCCAGTTTCTTGGGAAGTTTTCAGGGCAGAGACAGGAACTACTGGTTGTAGTAGAGTGTGTCTAAAGCAGAGGAACAAACACTCCACAAAGGCAGAGTAATGGAAAATAACCCCGTTGACAACACTTTCCCTCTCTCAATCCCCATCTCTGACAGGGGAGCAATCAGAAGGACTGGCGGGGCGGGGGGCGAACCACAAAAAAACTGCTTTACTCTGGCAGAGGGAAGCCTCCCCCGTGCTCTGCAGGCTGCCAAACTGGCTCCAAAAGGAACCGCTTGTAGGGCCAGGGACCTTCCAGCCAGAAAACCCCTACTTCAGTGCTTACACGTTTAGGTATCACGTAAGTGAGCACAGTACAAGGGCTGCATTATCCAACATGTTTTTTGCAAGCAATTAACAGTAATAACACGAGTCTGCCTTAGTTATCAAATGATACATTTGAGAAGTCAAAATAAAACCGGGCATGTCTGTGGCTTATCAGTTCACCACTAGGATTCATCTTCAGAGAAAAAAAAAATTCCCCAGACTGTATCTGAGCATCAAGTATTTAAACACACACAGAAGCTGTTTGCCACATCTCAGTGTTAAGCAGCTTTTACAGCTTCGATATATTTGTTGAACTCTGACTGAAAGAGCCATGGTTGAAGACACTGTTCTCTTCAGAACGATTAGTTTCAAATGTTGTTGTAAATTAAACCCTGTTACTAAAAGGTCAGACCACTTGTGAAGATGCTTACTAACTGGCAGCACAATCACAGGGCGGTCAAACAGAAGTGAAATACTGTAAATCAGAAGCCTGTCCAGAATGGAAGCTGTTCCTGGTTGTTTGCTCTAACAGCTAGTCTCCCAGAGATACCAGGATGGGGCTTTGATACACTTGGCTCTTCTCCGTATGCAGGATAAAATGAAGAAATGCCAACATTCAAGCTTTCACTACGGCTACTGTTGTTCAGGGTTGGTTGTTTTTTTTTTTTAATCTTACACTCTAGCTTGCCAGGAGCTTTTTCTGTAAGTATGCAAAGAAAAGCATCTTCCTGAAAATGTCAGCCAATTTAAGGCACTGAAATCAGAAAATGGGGTAGGAAGGAATAACAATCTGACGTATCCACCAAGAATGCCTGCCATAGCTTTCTATCAGCAGAGAGGGAAATGAAGAATGCTTGTTTTAAATTTGAAAGATTTTGTGGAATCAGTTTGCTACAGAAAACCAACATCAAAAAAGTCATCTAAGAGAAGTAAAACACCAAAAAAAACTCAGAGATTTTTGCTACCATGATTAGATTTTACATCCTTTAAAGATGCTCCAACAGTTAAAAGCATCTTACAAATACATGCTCCATTTAAACCTCCCCTACCCTAATCCTTTTAGTAGGTGCCATGTTATATGAAAATTAAAATACAATTATGATAAAAGATCAAGTACTTAAGATACCATCATTCTGCTTTTTTTGGGGGGGGCGGGGGGTGTTTGTTTGGATGGGTTTTTTTTAAAACAATCTATGTTATCCTTATGGTCACCAGTGCGGAAGGAATTAATTTTTATCTGTTGTATTTCAGTATAAACATTAACTAGAGTTAATGGACACTAGAGTTCAAAAGTACTGCCTCTCTTGGGACAAAATGCAGAGGTTTTGGTGCTCTCGTTGCACAAAGTGAGATTTCATACACTTCTTGGTCCATATCAACAGAATTAAAGAATTGACATGGCTTACAAACACATCAGTGTTTTACAAGTTATGTACTCAGTTCTTTATCTCAAATTCTCTTCCGGAGACCAAGGCTTGATGGATGATCTAGCAGACCTTCCTGCAGCTGTTTAAGCTTTGCCACCTGTAGCCATCTAGCTCAAGTCAGTCCCAGAGAGTACTGCTCAGTAGTTGTGGTGGCAGAAGGAAGGTGGAAGGAAGGTTTAGGAGCCCCCGTTCACAATACAGAATATAAACCTCAAATTCATTTTCATTGATAGTCTGCACTGAATGGGAGCAGCTGAGACACAAGTACACGTTGTACTCTCCTGCCCCAGTTACACTGACAGCCAACTCCAGCAAAAAACCAGGGAAGTCTGCTGGGGGCAGAAATGTCTTAAATTACTTTAGCAGATCCTCTACAATTTGCACACCAGAGCTTTACCTAGCCCCCATCAGTCAGTGTGTTTTCGCATATCTGGAGCGGTAGTGATGACTCTTATACAAGAGACTGCTTTAAAGACAGCTTATATTAGAACATATGTTTTAGAAGATATCAGGAAAAATGGGACCATGGTTCTAGCACTGCTACTGTATAGTCCATACTTAACTGCATGAATCGTTTTCATTTCAAGAGCAGAATTGTCTACATCCACTATTTGCTGCTATGCAGAAGAGCAAGCACTGGATTCAGAACAATTCTTCCCACAAGTGTTCACGAAGATACATCGCATTAATGAGGACAACATTAAAGACAACACTATGTGGAGTCATGTGCAGTGACTGCACCATTCCCACCTGACCCAGAATCTGCCTACTGTCAGAAATCTAAGCATACTGACATACCCAAAATGTATTAACGTACATACCCAACCCCCAAATATATTCCCAAAATTTAAATTTGTAGTAATCTCTGGAGCAATAACACTTCTCAGTGCAAAAATACATAAACATCCCCCTTGTTCTGCGAGTAGAAAGCAACAGCTCTGCCAAGGCTTACCATTTCTTAGATATGTGCCAGCATGCACGAATAAAAAGGTGCAAGAAAGACCAATTTATTAATTTCCCCATCTAATCTAAAAGGGCTGTAATTTTTAAGTTCTCACATTATTAAGTTCAGTAACATGCTATATATAAGACACTTCTTAAGCTATACAGATTGGACTCTGAACAACTTTCCTCACTAAAACATTTTTCAAGCAGCATTATAGGAACCACCATGCCCAAATAACGTCCCAGACAGGGTTTGCTGTCTAATTAAAAATCTTGTGGCAACAATTATTTTGGCATCTATATCCGCACAAATGAAGTTTACAAACAAGATTAAATGGATTTGGTCTTTTTTTCTTTGGCACCGAGCTTCAGCAATTCAACACACACCCTCAATAAACTTATATGGCTTTTTAGTTTGAGCAACAATAGTTTGGAAGAGAGATACGTAGATCATCTACTGAAAGCACAAATGGATTACTAAACTTCTTGCCACAACTTTTTTTTTTAAAGGACATTAGTGTTTTTAAATAACAAATTTAAAAACTCGTGTTCAAGCTAATGCTCCTTTAAATGATTATAAGCAGTTTGGCTTTCTTCTTTCAGCGCCTGGGAAAGCCAAGTCTACGGAAGGTTAACTACCACATTTCCAGTCATCTTCAACTACATCTGCTAATTGCGAAAGAATGACTAAAGACACAGAAGCAAAGGCAAGCTGTCTTTTCCCATATGGTATGTCCTCAACTCGGAGGCCTCTGACGTGCACCCGTTTCTCTTCAAATTGGCTTTTTGTAATTATGAAAGTCAGATGGCATATTGCAGTCAAACTGAACGCTCCCCTAAATCAGTGGCACCAGAGAAGACATTTGCAACTCACCTTCCTAGAGGAGTTGTCGAAGTGCACACCACAGGCTTTGCAGCTCTGTTCAGAAGCAGTGGGAGACGGGTATGAGCTGTACCCGGGGTTGGAATAGGCTTGGACTCTGGCTCCCTGCTGCGGCTGCGGCTGCATCTCTTCGGGTGAGCCATCCAGACAAAGCCAATTACAACAGCTTGCCCACATAGTAACTGAAAGTGGAAGAGATACACATTAGAAATGACATGGGAAAATCTGTCAGCTAAAGTGAGAACAAAGCATGAAATGCATATTTAAATTTCCCACCAGCAATTCATTTCTGACAGTGTGTTTGTAAGTTTTGATCTTTCCTCTAACTTACAAGCACATGCAAAAACCACACACCCAGTCCAGCATGGTACGCCTTTGGTGAGAAAGGACAAATAAAGTTCAGGATAGTTATTACTGGAATTTCTTAGAGTTAAGAGGTTACAACAAAGATAAGATAAATTTTGTGTTCCAGTTTGCTGTACAAGACTATGATCAAGTTGGCTGTAACAGGCTGTCTCTATTCCATGTAACCCGTAATACACTGACTTTGTTTTTTGTGCATTGGGAAAAGCAAACAGAAGCTCAAATTATGTCTCATACATTATTTAAATAAAATCAGTAGTAAGATCATAGATGCCTATTCTTCAATTTTATTCTAAATCCCTCTACAGATTTACAGCTACAAATCTAAAAAGACAAAGTAAAAGACAAGGACAGTGGAGCCACTGATTTAACATATGCCAGTTCTCAACTGAATTTGCAGCATTACAAGGCTAAATCATCACACAGCAAGTAAATGTCAGTAACTTAAGAAAAATCAAATATTAGCTTCTGGTAACTTACCTGAGAAAACAGTTGCATCTGAGACACAATTGCTTGTGGGGGTTTTTTGCAAGCCAAATAAATTTTTATATATATATATATACACACACACACTCTTACCTAAAATTGTAACAGTCCAGTGCAAAATGCACAGTTTTGGAGTCTTCTAAGACCACCCATGCAGAAGTATTCCAGAAACACACTGCTATAAACTTGCTTTTGGGAGTTTACAAAGAAATCTCAATTCATCTGGGCATTCAGTTTCTAGAGCATACACCATGTGTCATCACTTACTGGCAAACAGAATACAAATTGCCTCCTCTGCATTTCTGCATTCACACTGTAGTTCCTGGACTCTGTTTCTTTTCTGTCTTAAAAATTGGGTCCATCACTGATAGTGTTGGACTGCTCGATTTTACAAACATCTGGAAATAAATCCTCTCTCAGCTACACAGCCAATTCATTTCTTTCGCCTCAATAAGTATTGCCACTGTAAAACTCCAGATTCCCAAGGGAAGGGGGCTGGTATGAGTCCCAAACGTTATTTGGTACAATATGCTAACATACTGTTCTGTTGATTTTTTTTTTTTAAAGCTGTGTTAAGTCTTATGGGTTGATGTACTCGAATTGAGAAGCTTTTGCAGTTTGGTGCTGTTCCAGTATCTGTAGCTTTAGTGGCATCTTTAATCCTTTCAAAATCTAGCTGAATTTGGCTCGTCAAAGTTACCGCTGTCACTGCAGTGGACATATGCCTTTCTAAATCCACAATGGTGAGCTTACCAATGAACTCTACCCTGCAGGCTCAGCAGATTTTAATGTTTAAGTGAAAATCTACAGATTCATGACAGAGAAACAATTCTTGGTGTAACTGATGTGCACAATGCTGTAGTGTAAATTGCACTCAGACCGGCAAATAGATCTCTAACAACAGAACAGTAACAGACAAAAAGGAACACCAGCTGGCTGCTGGAAGGACACGGGTGACCAAAGGCACGGCAGAGACACACGGGCCACAAGACTGTTACTGCAGATATTCGTGATATCAAAGCCATCAAATGCTGATTCTATCAAACGCTGAAAATCACAATACTAAAGCGGCATCAATATGTTCTCCATCCCCTACAATCCCCTCACCGAGTGCTGACATAAAATTTTGGAGGTGCCTTGACCATCCTCCTCCCACATCATTTGGAGCTATTCTCAGCCTTAGCAAGCAAGCTGCCGGGCTTCCCCAGCAGCTTCGGATAGCAAACCACCTTGGCAGGAATGTGTGTTATCCCAACAGAAAACACTTGGGATAGTCACCACGCAGCAGAACAACAAGATCCTTTAGGCCACCAACAACTTTGATTCGTGTTACATCCCTGTGTACAAAACCTGGTGTCAGAAGATAACAAGCTTAAACAGTTATTATTTATAAGCATAAACAAGAATCAATAAAAAACAGTGTGAGTTCTTACTGACACACAGGGATCTGAAGCCTGAAAACATTAATGACCTAACTGCAGCATCTTAGCCTAACGATTAGTTTCACATGCCACAGTACTCATCCTGTATAAGCAGGGGTAATTATCACTTAATAAATACATGGAGAGAAGCATTCCATGAACAGAAATCACGTATCATCCATTTGTATTAGCTCTGCACTGCAGTCAAAACACGTACTTTAGATATACATAAAAGAAACAATCACTCTTTTTCTTTCTGCACATTAATTTTAAAGCTATTGGTCCCACTCAGAAGTTAACACAGCCTTTCTATTGCAAAAATACTGAATTTCTATTTTAAACTATGCTGTTTGGAGGTTTAATTTCTTCCTAGGAATAGCAAATCTAAACAACACGAAAGCTGCAGTCAAACAAGTATTCACAGCCTCCACAGCAGTGGAAAATGGCATCCATACTTAAGTTCCCTTCCTGTTTCAAGGACCCCTGCAAACTGAAGGCCACCCACGATAACAAAATACACAAATGCTACTGCCTGCCCCAAAAACTTTGTTTTCCTAAAAAAAAAAAGACAGCCCACTAATTCACTCTGCAACATTGCAACATGTCAAACATTGGGAAAAAACACAAGGGAGCGCACAAACCAGGATAAAATAAGACAGAACTCAGCATTCAGCTGGAGTTGTAGTTTTGTGTAATTGCCAGGGAATGAAAAGGTTACAAAAGGCTCAGATGTTGCTTTAGAAGAACCTTAATCCTGGTCAACTACAAAAGCATGGAAGGGAAACGTCCATAAACAACTAGTAACCAGGGCTGTCCTCTGATCTGTAACGTTTTTCCAAAGATATCTCCCATCTTTAAGAGAAAGGAGCACATGGAAACACGACAGCCATTCATACAACTCAGGCACACTACTTCAGCCTGTACCAGTGTATGTCAGGTTTTAATTATTCAAGGACCTCTACATATAGGCGTAAGTTTAAGTTAGGTAGGGCTTGCTTATATGCAGCGTTTACATTGACAAAGATGCTTCACTGAAAACCGCTTTGTGCTGACAGTTGACAGTCACACAGAAACGGACGGCTCTCACTTCACTGTCAGCATTTCGGGAGGCTGGTGGGTTCCTGCCGAGCATGTACTTTGCGCTGTGAGTGGGCATCCCACGTTGCTTCTGTGCCACTGTCAGCTCTTATGCAAAGTGGGATTCTCCTCCAGGCACACCAAGAGATACCTGCCAGCCAGCAACCATCATCTCTCAATACGGCATACAGGTTGGGGACAGCAGCCGGGCGATGCCGCAGCCTGCTCCAGCTCCATCTTAGACCGCTCCAAGTGCAAGAAAAGGAGCTCACAAACGTTTCCACCTCTGCCCATACGGTAGTCATCATGCTCTGCGTCTCAGTCAACATTGCCCCAACTAATTTTGTAGATACCTGCTACCATTTCCAAATTCCCAGGAGACCACAATGGCTGAAAAGCAAGAATTACGCTGTTGATACCTGGAACAGGCAGTGGACGCTATATGGGAACTTAAAATGCTGCCACCAGTTAGGCGAAGCTTTGCTAACCGGCAGCTATACTACCAAGCAGATGTGACTGAGGCTTGAGATGCTAAAACGTCTCTGTATCTGCCTACAGCTGCACGAAGACAGCAACAAGAAACGCAGGTAAGATTCAGCAGCTGCTTCAAGAGGGATTTTTCCTTTGTTCTGTACAGCATCCATTTTAGACCTGAGGAAATAGGCACTGCCAGTGGGAGAGGACTGGTAGTGGCAAGCAGAACTTCACGGTGAAATTCAGGGTGGCAATTTCCTAGATATCTCCACAATGTTTGCTACAGTCTACTTATTCCCTTATTTATTTTGTTACCCATTCAGAGGAATGTGGTGGACACCATCCAGAAACTGATTATTTCCGTAAGCAATGCTTTGACAGATGGGTTGTTGATACAGATGTGACAGAGTTTGAGCATCAGTAACTAGAAAGCACTGCCCTGCGTAAAGCCCGTCAATCCTTTGCAGATGAATAGCTGGTCTGCATGCAAGGAGCTCCCCAATTACACCAAAGCAGCAAATAAATGCCCAGCCACAAAATTTACCAGGAGAAAGAGCTACTACTTTGTTGTGCTCCAGGGCTGGGTAAACACTTACAGTAACCTGACTAGTATTAACATGTCAGTTTGGAAAAGTTAACGACACCATAGATTTCAGGAATTCTCAAGCAACTTCTTGAATAAAAGATGTTGACTTACTAGCATGACTAATGTTACAGGCATTACTGATATCAGCAGTCTTGACTGTTCTTGGACATGATGCTCGTACCGGCCAATGGGAGCCATAGAAAACAACTGTTTTAACTATGCAGCTGAGCGTGTTTTGGGGAAACTGAAGTCTGTGTGGCAGGCACTCAACAGATGACTTCTGGCAGACAAAAAGTACCTGCCCTAAATCCTAACTGCGTGTTGTGCTTGGAGCATCGGCAAGAGCAAAGGGAGAGGGAGCTTCACCAAGGGTGGAGATGCAAGATTAAACACTATCCTGGACCTGCAAACACATCCACCCACATGGCAATCATCACGCTGGGCTTGTTTTTGGGAAGGGGGATTGTTTTATCTTCTTTCTTGAGTTTCTTTAAGGACAAGCCAGAAGAAATGCATAAACATTGGACGAGGCAGGGAGTTGCTTGCCATGGTCTGTGGGCAAAGCAGTGCTAGCACGCTACCACGCTCTGATGGACTGCTCTTTTTTTTCCAGTATGAAGCTGTGAATGCTGCGACTCTCTTCACTGATTTTAAACAGAAGAGTGAAATTCATTTCACCACCTGTTCATTAACACATTCTATACATCACCATGAGTTTTGTATAAATTTGCAAGCATGATTTAATTCCAGAGGAAATACCAGTGATGTCAAAGTT